GAGCATAGTATACAAAATAGCACTTTTAAATAAACTACCTACATTCTCTCTCAAATTTCCTTGGAAATGCCAGATTGAACCTGAAATCTTTTTGTACTGTATATGTTAAGATGGAACCCTTTTCAGTTAATGTTCTGTAAAAAAAAATATGTGAACACAATACAAATGGTTTGCATCCAGTCTTGACAGAGGATGATATAATTGCATGAATGTAACTTTAAGGCATTCCACAATTATTCTATGCATATAGCAGTCTATTATTTTCATTAGACCTATGGTACAAGAAGTGTTTATGATCTGCTCCAAAGGCTGAGGAAGAGAGATGACAAAATTTCAGCTCATCTCTAGAGATAATGTGAACGTATAGAATGCATACCCATCTTTCTTCTCCGGCTTGGGAGCTGCATTTGGGCACCTCCTGCCATTCTTAGTGGAAATATAGCTGCACTGCTTGAAGGGTGCATTCCGGTCTTCAAGGATGTGTTTAATGCAGAACTCGAGTCCTTCCAAACGAGGCTGAGAGCATGGACGGTGAGCAAAGGCACAGGACAAGGTTTCTCGTGGCCTTGGCACAGGAGTGAGCTGCCCCCGACTTGAAGGCAAAACATGAATGCGAATTCTGTTCATGCCAGTGCCTGTAAGGAACATGTTAGTACAGATTTGAGATAAGAGAGAGAGAGAGAGAGAGAGAGAGAGTAAGAGAGAGAGAGTGAGAGAGAGAGTCACTTCTGCTACTATAAAAATCCCTTTGTTCCCCCCAACAAGGTTATTTCGGTTTTCCTTCTGACTATCAAAGCTTTCCTCGTGATCAATCTTGAATCACCAGAGATTCTATATTTCAGACTTATACAGCTACCGGCAATCCGTGGATTCACTGGACCCTAAAATAATTCATACCACCCCGACCAGAACCCCGAAATGGCAAGTAACGTAAAGAGAATCTTGCGACGACTTTTCCTCTTTCCCCGTCCTAGTTCCTCAACTGGCTGGGCATTATTATCTTGTTTCCTTCCCCCCTCCCTATTAATCCTTATTATTATTATTATTATTATTATTATTATTATTATTTAACCGCTTAAGCAGCTGCGGCTCCTGTAACTAAATACCAGATAAAATCTTTATACAATGGCGAGGATCGTTATGGAACGCCGGGGGAAACGACGGAGATTCTTCCCAACCGTTACGTATTTAAAGTTCATACAAAACATGTTCCCTTTTACCCTAAAAGGGATTAAAAGCCCCTCCCCCCCCGCCTTTCAGTTCTCTGCGCTTAATTCAGACACGCGGGGGCGAAGCCTTCCCCAACCCAGTCGAGAAGGAGCTTCTCTCCCTGGTCTCTCGGCCGTGTACGATTCCCCCACGCCTAACCGCTTCTTTCCCCCACGAGCCGTTTGGCAAGCGCGAGAGGCAAAGCCATCTTAAGGGGGGGGGGCTCCAAATCCACCCCACTTTTTTTTTTTTTGATCAGCGCAGCAACAGCCGCCATCTTACCTTCCTCCTCGCGCTCTGGCTCTCAGCAGGGCCTCGAGCTCGCTATCGCCAGCCAATCCGGAGGTGACGTAGACTAGAACGGGATTGGGTAAAGGAAATGTCATTCGAGCCGGTGTAGGGGCGGGCGGCAGAAGGCGGTCAGAACCGCCCTTGGGATTCCTCACTAGAAAAGCTTTGGAGAAAACAGGCTTTATTATTATTATTTTTAAATGATCCCGATTTAAACTATTTTGACTGTTTTATGGCCTGCTTCCAATTTCATTGCAGCAAGCTGCTTTGAAGGCTAATAGAAACACCATTATATTAGACACCATTAGATATGAAACAGACCAACCCCCCCCCATTACTCTGCTAAACAACTAATTCCCAAACACTGTCAAATAGTATTACTATTATTATTCTCATTTTCCTATTTCCTTTTCTACTTATGACTTTGTTGCTTGTATATTGTTTGTTTCCTAGCATGATTTATTACTTTAGTATCCTGACTTTTATGATTTATGAATGTATTTTTATGACTATGATCATGATTTATCACATATCTTTTATGTACACTGAGAGCTTATGCACCAAAGACAATTTCCATGTATGTCCAATTACACTTGGCCAATAAAGAATTCTATTCTATTTAAGCAGCTGAGTTTGGTATTCTACTCGAGGACTGAGTTTAATATATAGGAAGGTAGGATTCCATCTCATGAACCTGGAACTGCTGACGTGTTAAGATCAATTAATGGAATTTCCATTAATGGACATTTTGGCAGTACTTGTTTTGAAAAAAAAAACACAATTTGCTTGTCAAGCCATTCTTAATATTGACAGGTTTGTGGTATTTAATTGAAATTTGATTCCTATAATTTAAACCCATTATTCCATACCCTGTATGACATGATAATAGAGAATAGATTTTCCAAGTGTTCTTGTAAAGCTCCATCTTTATTTCCTTGCATCTCCCAAAATCAGGTGGCATTCAGTCCCTCAAATTTTAATTTCCTTTCCGTTACCATACTATATCCCTTAATCTTCAACGAACTTGAGCCACAGTTGGAGCATATCAGCATGAGATTAATGTGCCTGCATGCAGATAATATAAATGTATTGATCCCTTCACTCCCCTTTACTAGTTACACAAAACTGTAAATCAGTTTCCTTCTTTCCTTTTATTCAAAGTGGTTGTGATTACTTATTCTGCTCATTTATCTAAATTGCTTTTACTTAAATTAAAAAAAAACCTGAAAAGTTCTTCAGCCAACTACTGTTGATGTTTGGAGTGCTATATGCCTAGTTTTGCCAGTACAACTTTTTAATGTGGTTTCACATAGTATGAAAACCATGCAGAGAAAAGGATAAGAGATAAAAGGAACCTATTTTAAGACAATATTTCTAAAATGCCAATTGAGGGGGAAGTTGGAGTTGCAGCAATTAAGATTTACAATAGCTATCTTCTTTAATTGTACAGGATTGAAAGCTTAATTATCCCATCCTATTAGTATAATTTCATTTTCTTTGAAGAGTTTTGCTGGATTCCTGAAGCCAGTTATTACTTGGGAAACATGTTTTTCCAAACTACCCTCTTTCTACAGATATACTTTCTAGTACAAAGTACCCTTTTGACAATTTTTGCTGATCACCTGTGTTTATCCATGTTAGTTCCAAATATGGACTAATAAAAGAGATTGTAGAAAGTCAGCACCTACCCCTCTCCTAGAAGAATGAAATATTTTAGGAAATATTAAAAAGGCAGAATATTATATTTCCCTAAAGGAGAAATATGCTTTTGGGAGACAGAAAGCAACCCCTAAATCTTTCTTAATAGCCCCTGCAGACATTTAGGTGCCCATTAAGAAAGACAAGGCCAAACTATTCAAAAACCAAACTGAGGAGGCCACCGTTTAGAAATGCAGATTTAATCCATTCAAACCAGGACATTTTGAAACAAAGGCAGAATGGTAGGATTAGTCCTCATTCAAGATCCAACACAGGACAAAGCAATTAAGCCACAATAGGAATTATTTGAATCACCCTTAAAGCAGGCCAAACTTCAACCAAAGCTAAAAAAAAACACCAAACCCTAGGATTTGTACTTTGCTTATAGAGCCACCTATGACTCCTACATGGCCCCATGGGAGTCTGGCAACAGCCAATAGAATACATGTTCTTGCAGGAAGCTCATGTGCAAAGCTCAAAGAAGGTATAAAAACCCTCCACTCTCAGCTCCATTTTGCCAGCATGTGGTTCTGCTTCATCATTAAACCATCTTTCCAATCAGCTTCCATGTTTCCAAGATCTTTCTCCCAGCTTGAAACTGAACCAGTTTGATATTTGTTCCCACGATTTATTATAATAATGTGCAAGTAATGCTTAATTTATGAGTTTTGTTAATGATGGTTCAAAATTAGAACCTCAGAAAAAGTACCTTTGACAAAAGTTACAACTGTCACCATCATCCCTAGTGAATTGCAATTTGGGCACATGGTAACCAGCCCATATTTAGGAGGATTACAATGGATTACAATATTTTGCAGTCATGTGATTGCAATTTGCAATCTTCCCAGCTGGTTTCCAACAAGTAGTTAATTGGGGAAGCTGGATTTGCTTAATGACCTTGGTAAAAATGGTCTTAAAAGTGGGTCCACTCACATGACTCATTTAATGACTGCATTGTTTACTGACTGAAATTCCAGGTCCCAATTGTAGTCATATGGTGGGAACTAGCTGTAATGCACATTACCATCCCAATGTGGCATTACTCTTACTATACAGAATTTATGCATTAAAGATTGCAGACTATATCTAGATATTATCCTATCCTTTACATTCCCGCCCTGTACAAATCTTGGTAGCTCTATAACTATAAATCATAGTCTGAATTACCACACAGTTCAGAAAGGTTTATGAAAACAATGAATTATGGCTACGTGTTTTGCAACTCAGGTAGGAGAGAACAAAGAACACCAGAAAAATGGTAAGCAGAATAAATTCAGTTACCTTGAAATCTAAACTAAACCATTAACTTTTGAAGATAATGTATGGTATACTGCCTGCAGGCTTTCATGGCTGATATCTGTTGGGCTTCAGATTTTAGTGACCTGAATAGTAATATAGGTGAAAAGATTTCCTAACATTTCATCAGCAACTGTGGCTAACATCTTCAGAGGCAAAGTGTTCTGCTATGCAAGCAATGACAAGCCAAAACATTTGGTTATAAAAACAGGAGCCCAGTCACTCCTTGTTCAGTTGCCTGCAGTCTGTGTAGCATTTTGCCTTGAAGATGACAGCAAAGCATCAAGACTAAACCCTGAAGTTTAATAGGATTGGATGTACAGTATGTTTAAAGCCATTGCCTGCTGACAATTCAAGCTAGGTAGAGAGAAACATGAATGCTTTGTAAAAGTCATTGTCCAGTCAACCCCCTTTTTTAAAAAAATGCAATTTTGGAAATGACCAGCCAGCATAACCAACACGGGAATTCTAAGAATGCAGATCAAAACAGACAGTGCCAGGCTAGGGACTTTCCTTGCAGTCCAGTATGAATTACATGGACTCCGCATTTTATTTTAGAATTAAACAGACTCAATCTTAACAGTTGCTCAACCGCAAATGCAGAAAGAAGTTCTCCTCAAAATCTGTTTCTTCATATTATTTGTGTGACTGAAAAAGCTCCCCCTGACCTTTTCTTTCAGCATACAGATAAGTATGGTTTTACAAGTCCATTATAACTTTGCATACTGTATTAATAACTATAAATACTGTAAATTGATACATGCAGGTGCATATCTGTACAATATACAAAACATGGATTACTGAACATGATGTTTCAAGCAAGCCTAGAAAATGTCAGCTGATCAAAACAATAACTTCTTTTTAAACAGAAGGACCAAGAGATGATTTAGACAATTCAGCATACATTAATTACTCTTATGTAACTGTCACATTCATTTCCATGGGTCATCTAGGACCTTTTAGTAAGCATAGTAAATGAAGGATTACTATTGTAACAGCAAGATAGTAACCTGCAGTTTTCAACTGACAAATTATGATCCAAAATCTGAAAATATGAACATCTGAGTCAATGAAATGTGATCTTATGTTTTTTTTTAATCATGCCACAAAGTTATTTTTCCTTTCCTACTTCCTTATTTGCTATCTTTTGTTCAAATCCATTGTGGTTTGTTTTTAAAATGTAATTGCTATTGCTTGCTTTTACATCTCAGTGTAAATAAAGAACTAGGAAATAAACAAGGGAGATTTAAAGATTCAGAATGCTGCTGTTACTGTCCAAAATACTTTTGTATACTTTTCCTGATAAATTCAAATATTAGCAAGAAATTTCACAAGGAACAAATTAAATGCGGAGACAGTACATTTATTGAAACGTGGAATAGTAATAAAGTGAGCCAGGAATTAGAAAGTTTCTGAAACATTACACAAAACTAGGCCAAAGTTTGCATCAATAGCTGAGACACTATTGGTTCAGAAATCCAAAGGTGGTGGGGAAACAATTATTCCAAATTCAGAGAAAATACTTCTGCAAAAACAAGCAGATGAGTGTCTTATTTAAACATGATGCATCATCTGAAACCAGCAGCAATTAACTTTCACTCACATGACATTACAGAGGCCACAGTTAATAGTCACTACTGAACATACTGGATTGGGCCTCTATTGATGTATACTAGAGTCATCCATTTTGGGTAAAACCCTTTTTAGGCCACACAGTCCCTCATATTTCAATTTGGAATTTACTTCACAACAGTAGGAATACCTTGAAATGACTTGTGGAACAAGGGGACTATATTAAAAGACAAAATAAAGTTGAGATTGAAGACCACTTACTCCAAATACTTTGTCCAAATGCTGGCTTACAAACCAAGGCCAAATTCATAGAATTAAAATATTCTTATGTGATCTACAGAAACATAATATATGTCCATGTTTAAATGCTAGCCCCAATTTTAGCATACCAGAAGTAGTATGCTACAAGTTCAGAATGTTACATCAACATTCAAACCAATTCAGGGCACCTTCAAACTGGCTATTTTTGTATTGTATCTACATCTTTATATTCACAGGTCTTCATCCCACTTTTATTCAATTTTCTTCTCTCTTAGAGACAGAAATATTAGACCTTCTAGATACTGGCAAGCTGTACTTTCCAGAAGCCCATACTATCATGAAAAACTGTAAAGGATACTGGGAAGTATAACTTAACATTTGGAAGGCCACAGGCTCGGTCTTTGCTCTGTTCACCAAATTTGCCTGATTCATTTGTGGTCATCCTTATATCTTTTTTGGACAAAATGTGAAAATCTCATACTCCATAATATATTTAAGGTATAATATAAAGCATCCCGGAATCACGATTACTGCTCTAATGTCCCTAGGCTGTCGGCCTCTTCTAGTTCTTCCTCCTCTGCTGAAACACACATTTTCCCAAACTATACTAAATGCAGCATTTTTTTGAAGGCACTCTCAAGAGTTCATGCACTAGCATGCAGTGCTGCCCACCACTGAAATACAGTCCCATGAGATTTTTTAACAGTTAAGTCATGTTAGCCATTTGTCTTCCAGTGAGAAAAAGACTGAGACAAAGACTGAAATGGTAAACATAGTAACGGCACCCCTAAAGAAGCAATGTGGTCAAGAAGAAAGTGAACTTATAAAACCTCATTCCTAAATTATCCTTGATCAGCAGGAAGGACTAAAAAAGTTAGCAACTAACACTTCTGATTTCACCATTCTTTGGAACTTGAGGTTTGCATCTGTCTCCATTTAATTACTGATGAAGAATCATAGATCTAAGTAAGGAGAAACTGGAAAAACTCTGCTTCACCACTTCCATTTTCTACTTTACTTATATTCAGTACATATGTCTCTCACACCTTTCTCCCTATTCTTCCTTCCCAACCTTCGCTGCCTTGTTCAGGCGGAGGCAACTTCCACTGGGACAACACACATTAACAACTGCAAGTAGACAGAACTCGTGTGCCCTTCTCCGTTTCCCTTTCTCCTATAACTCCTTCCTTTATCCATATTAGAAAAATAAAATCAACACTAAACATATAACTTATTTTAAATTATTTTTAAAAGTCCTTTTTTTAAAAAAAGAAAAGGAGAAAAGACTGTCAATTTAAATAGTCCGCCATTTCCTATCGGGTTGATAACGTTCACGCCCACCCTCACCTCTGAAGTTGACAGCTGGTCTTATAGGAAAAAAATCACCATCCAGAAGAACTGAAAGGGGGTGGATGGGTGGGGGATGCACACGGAGAAAGAAGAGCGTATCTTTTCACAGTTTCAAGAACACTATGTTCTATCAATAATAAAAAAATGTTTTCTTTTAAAAAGGGGACAGGGCATTCACACAAGGCAGTGGAGATTACTATGAGCAATTATTTTTTTATAGAACCTCAGTAGTTAAAACTATCACTTTGGGAGTGGTGGTAAAGGTGGGGGAGGTTCTGATGGGAGCGGGGGTGGTCGTGGCTTATCAACACTTGCAGCAGCCCTGGGGTTCAAGTATTCGCCATAATGATGCACAAAGTCATAATTGGATGACTGGGTGGGTTTCATTCCTTGTGCACTGAGCAGGGAGTGCAGCATGTTCACTGTATCCTGATAGTCAATGGATTGGTTCATGTTATGTCCATTGGCCCCAGCAGTGCTCTTGTCCAATTTTCCATGAGCCCCTCTGGCTTTGTTAGCCTGCACGAAAGGTAGACCAGCTGCTTCCAAGCTGTGGCCAGAATGCTGAGGGAATGAGAATGGCACAGTAGGCCCCTTGGAACTTTTACTGATTTTGGGCTGATGTTCATGGACTGTAACTGAGGTCTCCTCAGAAAGTGGTCTCTTACGGGAGGAACAATTTGGGACATAACCCTTGTGTGACACAATGCCAGTTGGGTTAACATGCTTGGATTCCCCTGGACGTTTGGTGTTGACAACAGGTTGCCCATGTAAATGTTTGTGAGAATGATGGTTATGATGGTGATGGTGGTTAGACGAATGGATCTTATGCTTTTCTTTGTGCTCCCCCCTGCTCTTGCCACTGTTTTCATCAGGCAGGCTGTGTCGTTCCGTGGGAGGTGGTACCTTAATGCGCACTTTTATGTCATCTTGTTTGGAAGATGCAATAGGCTTGTCTCCTGGGGCAGGCAACCGTACTTTAAGTGCAGATGAGGGTTTATCAGCTTTTTCAGGAGGAGGCCGTTCAGAACCATCAGAATTGTTGCCTAGAGGGATTTTCAGGACAATTGGAGAGTTCTCCTCCTGCTGCACATCCCGTTCACGTTGCTGTTGTTCAAGCAAGTTCTGGGCAGCATAAGCATATTGAGAACGCACATTTGCCTCCATGTTCTCTAGCTGGCGTTTCTGTGCAGCCAATTCCTCAGCATGTTTTGCACGATATTCCTTTAATGATACTTTTGCTAGTGGTGCACTCTTGATGTTTTGCTTAGCAAAAGGGCCGCCACTACTGCTATCATGATGTAGATGATCAGGATTGATAGAAATGTCTTGTTTATGCTGATCCATCCAGCTGTCTGATAAAATATCTGCACTACCTCGTTCCCCTGGAGAGTCTTCTCCTGTAGCTGGAAGTGAAGTGGCTCCAGTGGTTGAAGACGTTGACATGCTCATCAGGCCTGCAATAGTCGTGTCTGATGCACTTCTAGAGATCATGCTGAGGATTGTCAGTTCTGAGAGGCCATCATCCTCACTTTGGTCATCTGTCTTCGATTTCCTGGCTGCTTGACAGGCCTAAAATGAAAGCATTCAAAACTAGTATACTAATCTCTTCTAGTCATACAATACCCCTAGAGAGAAAGGAATACTATTCAGGCATACACTACTGTATTTTGCTGAAGTATCATATAGAGTTCATTTTTAATGCACATTATTCACAAGACACACCATGGAGAAATGACAACTGTCATTTTAGAAAAAAGCCATTAACAAATAATTTTGTTAATAAATTCAATAAAAGCTGTCATATTTACTTTATCAGATCAGAAGGTTGATGCTGTACTATCACGTTTATTCCCAAAGTCTTCCTTCTAAAGCCCTCTATTCCTCATTATTTTGAGTGAAGGTTCGGTGTGTCTTTTTTTATTCTCTGTACTTATAGAATGCATTCCTAACAGAGGCTTACCTGCCATTTATTTAAAGCATTTCAGTGCAAGAGATACTTTTATTCTTCAGAGATTATTTAAAAGTACTTTGTTTTCATTCTGTGAATGTTCTTATTTGACCTGTTTTGCGTATTTGACTTTATTCTAAATTGAGCACTGCTTATATATTTCTAAAATAGGGATTCTCCAATCTGCCCGAGGCAACAGGAACACCTGAAATTTTGGAAAACCATTTGTATTGTGGTTTTCTACCATAACATAAATATTGTGGGCTGTGTGGCCTATCACAAAATATTGGAATCATCCCATAGTCTCTGTATTTTAGAGAAATAATTATCTAATAGCATTTCCTGGGTTTTCTTCCTCTTTCTGGCTATTTCCCTCTGTATGCTCCCCCCACCAACAGTTCTCTAAAATTGTATTGCTCCCCTGCTCCACGTTTAGAAGATGAATATTCTTTATTTTTTGGGTGGAGGATATCCACTGCACAGGCTTGGGTGGCAACTAGCCATCAAAGGCATTTTTTTCCTTATACTGACTCTGAACTCATGTGGAATCCAGATAACTTGTAGTGAAATATAATAGCTGATTTCTCAAAGCCAGAGCTCTACTTGAAATGATTCCCAGATATGGAGGTGAATTGTTAAATTTGTAATGGAAATTGATGGGTGCCTCAAGATGTTTATGCCTGTATATCTGGGTTAAGCCCGGTTATAAAGCTATAAACATGAAAAAGGCAGAGGTGTCTTGGCTGTATCTTGGTATTCCAAGCAACAGTCTTCCCTCAACATTCTTATCAAAGAGAAGTACAAAGTGGGCAAAACATCTTACCCGCCAATTCCTGATTCGTTTCAGTCGATTAGGAGTTTTTTCAAGGATTTGAAGGAATTCATGAGTTAATTCTGTAACACAAACACAAGAATAAAGCTAGTAAGCATAATACTATAGCACAAATTCTACAGGAGCATATTTTAATGTCCATCCTCGTCAGCAAAAAACAGAGCAGTCCAAAGCGTAATAGTACAGGTTCAGTTTACAAAATTCATCCCACTTCTTTACTGTCATGCTGGAAATCTTGATCCAGAAGTCAGAAATAAAATATTAAGTTAATGGAGTGTACCTCTTATTGGGCATAGAATGTATTTGACCTTGCTCCAAACTTACCATCCAAGAGTTCCAGAGTTACAGTGGCATCAACGTACTCCCACCAGTGCTTCCCGTCCGTGGAGACTGGGATCTCCCAGTTGGACCACTTACAGGCCAAGTGGATGCAGACGCAGGCCACAACGGGAGGGGTGTACTGCAGGCTGAAGGTTGTTAGGTGAAGGCTGACATCACCAGCAGGGGGAGAGAAACAGAAAGCTGTAAGCTCCCAAGCTTGAACAGCAGCCGCACATACAACCGCCCGCTGGACAGACACTGCAGGAATTAGGCATCCCTCAGCTTTAAAAAATGTTATTATCCTGCAAGGTCAAGCTTGCCTTGCACAATAATTCTACTTCAGCCTTTTCCCACAAGGTTTTCCAAGAGCTTCTGTCAGCCTGGAGCTCCAGGACACCCACATCTTCATGAAAGGCAAAGGAATTAACTCCAAACAAAGTTACAAACTGGATTGTACAACAGCACTTTGACATAATCCTAGGAAAAAATCTGAACAATTTGCTCTTTGCAACAAATCTATCTTTTAGTAGTTAAACACCGCCAGCAGTAAATTTTGAATCAGACCACAAAGTACAGCTGATGTTAAATCCAACTCAAGCCATAAATCAACTAAAAGAGATGTTTGTGTATTTCCATTAATTCCTATTCTAACAAGATTCAAACAATTAAAGAAAGTTGTCCAACAACTTACAAGGAACTGGACCAGGAGTGGGTTCTGGCCTACTTTACTGCCAGAACCCACCCCTGCTTTTCGCTCGTGCACGCACTTTGCTCATGCACATGCTGATGTGCATTGCGTGCACATGCACATTTCAATTAAAATTGTTCTGTGCATGTGCAGAACTGAAAACCAAGATGGCGGCGATGGCGACCGGGGAACCGGTTTGGGGGTGTGGCAGGCTTGGGTCGCTGCCAGTTCCAGTGACCCAGGCCGCCATAGCACTACTGGTTCAGCCAAACCAGTAGGAACCCACCTCTGAACGGGATCCAGAAATATCATGAGGCAAAATATGCTGACAGGAGATGACAATGTTTACACTGCATTTATAATCCATAAAATCCTTCAGGAGATTAATAACTGCATGGCAAAAATATGCAAATGGTGAGTACTGGACAAAAAGAAGCCCCTTGAAAAATATGTAAATTACAGACCAGTATCTACTCGTACCACTTGATATGATGAAAAAAATGGATATAGAAAGGGCAACAGCTGCCATGCCATGCAATTTGCAAGCAGCCTGGGATGAAGTATATGAGCTCTAAAGTCTATTCATATTGATAGCCCAAAGCCTTCTTCCTAAAAAAACCAAACCAACTTTCTAGCACTGCTAGCTAGTAATCAGATTGAACATCTTACATACTATGCATCCACCAGCTCTACACTTTTTTACAATGGACTTCTTTGGCCTCTTGCATTTCATGAGACACTACACGTTAACAGTTTTCTCTTAACTATTTTTTAAAATAATGAGATCCTTAGTTTCTTTTAATCCTCTGTGTAGTATAATTAAAAATACTTCAAGTTTGTTCACTTCTTAGCCAGAACTAGTGTTTAAGCACTTCTTTACAAATATGCATAAAATACAGCTAGCATTGCTAAATTCAGCAGTAGCCGATGTAACATTTTTAGAAATTGGGATATACTGTAAATATCCCAAACAGCGATAAAATACAAATACTCAAAAGGTTTAGAAATTATAAGAAAAAAAGGTAAAAATGCACTATTAAAAATTTCTGGATGGTTCTTTCAAGTAGCTTTAATTTACTTTCAATTTTAAGCCTCATCATCCTCTAATTTAGTGGTCCCCAACCTTTTGGGCACCAGGAACTGGTTCTGTGGAGATTTTTCTCCACAGACCGTAGGGGGTGTGGTTTCACATGCTGCCTGCATCCCACAGATGGGTCTTTGCTTGCTTGCAGGGCCTAAGTACAAATATGTACTTAGAGCTAGACCTTGTGCGAAGACTAGAGCAACCCACCCAAGTTACAACAGACGAATGGTGGTTATTATCTGATTTCAAAAGTTCCAGACATGTTAATACCCTCATGGTCACGTGATGACAATCTGGATGCTTGACTACTTGTTCATATTTATGACCAATTGTCAAACACCCCATTACAATTTGCAACCTTTTCTGCTGGCTTCCCTAGAAAATCACTGGGGAAGCCAGCAGGGAAGGTCAAAGTCCCTCCACATTCACACCTCTTGTGTCTTCCCTGACCAATGCCTCTCATGCAGCTAATCACAACCTGGCCCATATGGCACTATTCACTCACTCCCTTACTCCTACCTTCCTCCATCTGGCAGCTACTTAGCTGTCTGATGCCCTAGAATTGCAACTTCCAGCTGGCTTCCCCATTGACTTTAGTTGTAGGAGGCCAGAAGGAATTTGCCTCACCTAACAACCATGGGATTCAGTTAACGATGGTAACCAGGAGTGTAATTTATGACTGCATCACTTAGCAATAGAAATTTCAATCCTAATTGCCGCCATAAGCCAAGAACTAAACTTTATTGATTATGTGGCATAGGAAATAGGCTACCATTTCTGAATCTGGAAAAAACAATAAGAATGTGCTTCTCTTTAAAAAAGAAATCAGAATCTGCAATAGCCTAATCAAGATCAAACCCATTTTGTATTTAATTTTTTTAGCTTCACTGTCTTTATTTTCTAATTCTGAAGAGAATTAGAAAGAGAAATGAACATGAGATTTAACATTCCTCCACAGGATTGAATGATACAAAAAATCATGGCTGATGTAAATAAATAAACACCAATTTATGTGCTTGTACTTGATAAATTAATTCATGCATTTTCATAGCAAAGCATGCTTAAATTAAACCATGATAATATAGTGTGCAAACCAGGTAATTAATTCATTAATAATAACTTGTAGCTCAAAATCTTATTTACGAGAAATAAGGATTTCCTTTAGGCAGCCAGGACAGATTTTTTTTGTTTTAAAGTCTGTATTTCTCACAATTATAGTCACAATAAAGAGATATATATAGAGCTGAGATGGCGCAGTGGTTAGAGTGCAGTACTGCAGGCCACTTCAGCTGACTGCTAACTGCAGTTCGGCGGTTCAAATCTCAACGGCTCAAGGTTGACTCAGCCTTCCATCTTTCCGAGGTGGGTAAAATGAGG